CCCCAAAACCCCAAAACCCCAAAACCCCTTTGTCTTCAGCCCATATTGAATTTTCTAATTTGCTTTTAAAAATGACTAATCTTGATGAACTTCAGCTTCAAAAGCCTGCATGCAAGCATCATGCAGGACTACGGCTAAGCTCTTCAGGTAATATTGGGGATGGTTTCGAGAGTGAAGAAGGAGGGTCTGAGCAGACTAAAGAGGTATTCATGAAAGCTAGAGAGGTAGGGGAGGGTAAGGGTTTTTGGATTTTTGGATTTTTAAAATTTTAGGGTTTTGAAGTTAATTTAGAGGTTAGAGAGGATTTTTGATTGGAATGAGAGATATAGTTTAATGTTGGATAATTGAAAAGTATGGCCATATATCTGAAATGCTTTTAAAAATGATAAACATACCTCAGATCCAAACAAAGACCCTAAATTTCCATTTTATAAAATTTCCACAATACAACGCTTTTATCATCAAATAATCTTCTAACAAACTCTATTCTTCATCAAAAAGCCCATAATTCCACAACTTCACCCCATTATCTCTCTAAAGCCCCAAAACCCCACCCAACCTGCCCCAATCTCCCCTCCCCCACACCCTCCAAACCCTAATCCAGCCCCTCTCCATCCCCAAGCAGCCCCCTACCCCAAGCCACTTCCTTCCTCCACCCCCCCTCACTCTTCTCCCGCTCATCCAAAATCAGCCTAGTCCCGACCAAAAGTTACTCCTAGAAGAACGCAGTAGGCCAATTTAACTTTTTATTTGGGAATTTTAAGGGATGAGTGGATGGATTTTGGACTTGGGGTGAGTAGGGGGTTGGGAGGTGAGAGAGTTAAGGGGGAGAGAAGTGGAGGTGCAGGGGATATAGATGTGGGAGATGTAGTTAGCTCCTGCTGTATAGGTATTTAGTAATGTTTCTTCGTTGTGAAGTGGTGTTCAGTCTTAAGAGCAATTTTCTTATGAAATCGTCTAATCAGGGTCTTATTATATGCATAATAGGAGCACATCAAAGACTAAAAGAAGCTTACAAGCTTTTACAGGCTGATTATGACAACTTAGTTTATCAGCTGAGGTATGAGCATTCTGTCCAAAGGCTGAAACCTGGAGGTACACATAATTGTAGATGCCAGAGATTTGTCAAGAATGATTCTAGATCCATGAGGAATAATGACCTCAGAGATTATGTCATGGTACCCAAGTCAGAAGAAAATAAGAGTAAGCTACTTAGGGATGGTTTTGAAAGTTTTGAGTTTAAGGAAAATTTATTTTTAAAATAACTCAGGTGGATATCATTTTTCTGAGAGAGATTAGAACTAACAGATCTTCAAAAATGAGATCTAAGTCTATTTTTAATTCTTCCTTATCTTTGCTTTATAACGGCTTCAGTTATTGATTTATTCGTCAAAATATATCGATCTTGTTCCACTCCCTTTTAAATACTTGATCTGTTCTAATAACTTTTTATTTTAATTAAAGGATACGATCAAGATTGACTCAATCGATACGATAAAAATATTGAATCAGAGATCTCTTCAGAAGCATTCATTCCTCGTAGTTATACCCAAAGCGGGAGTGGAAGTGATAACCTAAGCCAAGCATTCTCAAGCTCAGAATACTCTGACAATTTTGACCATGTTCTCCCTCCTGGCCAAAATGGAAGCTATGAAGCAACTAGTGCTGACTCTCGAAGTTCAAGCATCAGAGGTTCCTCTTTTCAAGGAAATTCTGATGGATCCAACTCTAATTCCTCATCAGCTAAGCCTATGAGGAATTCAGGTAAGCCTAGGCTTTGCGATCCCACTGTAGCTGCCCAGTTCTTTAGAAAATTTTAGAGTTTGAGGAATTTTTGAATCTATAGAAACTTGACTTTTAACATCATAAAAAGATACCAAGTTTCAGGAAAATGATATAAATTTATATTTAAGGATTAAAATTTTGTCATTAAAAGAGTAATATTGGAATATAAATACAAATGGAGCTAATATACCCCATCTCAACAACGATGGTTACATCAAAGAATCTACCTTTCATTCCTCAGTTCTTATATCTCTATTAGATCAAGACTTAACTCACAACTTTCAGAGAGAAGCCATGCATGTTGTAAATGAAGAGTCTAAAAGTGAGAACAATGAGATAGACTCCGAACGAGATGACCTCGAATCAGACCAAGATGAGGACCAAAGCATCTTCGGGCACCTATCTCCTGCTCCTTCCCAACCAACACCAGAGACCTCTTCTCGTGCTTCCTTCCGCACAGGCCTGAATTACAACCCCTATTAAGCCCTCAAATTCCTAAAATTTCAACATTTCCAAACTTTCAATCTTAACCTCACAAATTGGGGTTTTGGGGTTTTGGGGTTTTGGGGTTTTGGGG